TTTCCCCCCTCTCAATCATATGTACACATGATTTATTGATAGATATGTGTACTTAAGGCAAGAAGGCAGGACTGGGATTAACGCACCTAAATTATACTAGTAGTAGCACATCAGGATATCTAATATTAAACTTTATTAGTTTTTAATTTAATACACAATATTATTGATTAACATTTACTTTAGTGTTCTTGACTTTTGGTTGAATTTCTTATGCTTCAGTTCTCTGAATTTTATAAAAACACTTCTTATTGGTGACTCTTGACACCAAAGCGCTGTCTTGTTACTGCGCATGCTCGCCCAAAACCATCATGAATGCGTAGTCATGCGCAGTACGAATTGCAGGAATCTGGTGTCGGGAGTGACAATCCTTTGTAGCTTTGTCTTTAGTCAGCTTTATTTTCGTTTCAATTTATTCTTTTTTATATTCACTACACCTGAAAACTGAAAGAGTTGCGACCATGTTGGAATCTAGGAATTTGAACCTAGGATTTTGAGTCGGAAGGTCCCGCTCCGAAAACGAAGGACGCTCTAAATTTACTTTCTCGAAGATCAATAACAGTTATAACAGTTCTGGGCAAAAATGAGGTTCACTGTTACCCAGTGAGACCGAATTCCGCCACTTCCATACCATCAACATGGCGGCAATAACGTTACTGCGGTTTTCGATATTCTGCGAACTCAGACAGTTCAAACTTTTTTTCACTTCCGCCAGTCAACAACATAAAGGTACAGACTGATTATTTTTGATTGACAGCAGCGAAAAACCAAACTTCAGCGTGCAGCTCGCAGCCTAGCGAGTTCGCAGAATATCGAAAACCACAGTAAGAAGGAAATACTCTACACTATTTGAAATTAAGGGAATAATAATCTAAAGAGTTTTGTTTAATCTTATTAGGAGCACAAGATGTCATCACAGGATCGTGACCACCTTGACCTTGGTCCCACCCCAGATAGTCCCATGATGCCTGGCAGTAATGTTAATCTATTTTGCCCGCTGTGTCACGAGATGTACGCGAACCCGCGACTGCTGCCTTGTTTGCATACCTTCTGTAAACGTTGTCTTGACAACATGGTGCCACCTCGATCTCACAGCTTGACTTGTCCTTCGTGTCGGACAGACATCCCTCTTGGGGTAGGTACTGTGTGCAACCACTGTACATATCTGTTTAGCACTAGTCCTCGAGCCCCAATGGAATATTGACTCATAGGCCAGGAGGGCGAGAGGACTAATTGTTTTAGCCAAACCCAAATAGTAGGTCAAACATGTAGATGAAAACAAGACGCAAATAATCTCACACACTTGACCCTCAAAGCAGTCTGTTAAATTTCGCACCGTTTCATAAATTAGTTCATCTATTAATATTGCCACGCGATAGAAGTAATTATCGTTTCCATCTATTACATATTCACCTTATTTCATAACGTTTCTATTTTATAATTATCGATATTTACACAGGAAAGAGGGACAAACGGTTTCCCACCTAATTTCGTCGTTACGACCATGATTGACGTGGCCGCTTTACGTAACCATGATCAAAAGCCAATCCTGTGTAGCAGTTGTGAGGACAAGCTTCCAGCAGCAGCAAGGTGTATTGAATGCATGGATTTTTTGTGTTACGACTGTCGGAATGCTCACATGCGGCTAAGGCTTACTAAATCCCACAGGGTAAGTCTCTATATCTCAGTATCCAAGTCTTTTTTATTTCTCTTGTATTTCTTTCCTTCTTTCTATCCTTTCTATCCTTCTGATATTCTTCATTCCTACATAAGTACTAGTATTACTCCTATTTCAGTGTCCCTATCTTTTTGTTCTTTCTTTCATCGTTTTATTAATTTTTTGTGGCATTTCTATTCTTCCTTTCACCTTTCTTTGTATCCTTCTGCCATTCTTCGTTCCTTCCTAGGTAGCCCTAAGTGTTACTCCGTTTGCCTATCGCGAGTTCCCTCGCTTGTCTTTTCTCTTTCTAGTTCATTCGACATTTGTGCTCTTTACTTTTCATGATTTTCCTTTGCCGACATCGAAAGAAAAACCGTCAAAACGTTTCTAAAACTCCTGCTATCGTTTTGTCTGGACACTTGGTAGTGGTTCTAAAGCATGACACGACCTACCATCGTAAATTTTCTTGATATTTGTTATGTTTTCAGGTTATTTCCATAGAAGAACTTCGTTCTAATCCTCATCCTGAAGACCTCCTTCATCGTCCAATATGTTGCTCAGACCACGGCCAAGAAAAACTAAGGTAACCCATCACCTTAATTCTTGGGGTGTCATGTTTGTCGTATGTGAATAGTTATTTGTGGGTTTTCCAGGGACGGATCCAGCCAAAAATATAGGGGGGAGGGAGGGGGGCTTGACCAAATTTTGCGAATGACACTCCAGAACTTGGAAAATATATGCTTTTTTTTCCACTTCAAGGAACATAAACAATGTCCTGAAGGGGAGACTACAGCCTCTCTCCCCCCCCCTGCACCCCCTCGATCCTCGACATTATTTACACTTTCGGTTTAAAGTCTCCTGGAGCAGGAGGCGAAGAGGGGTTTTGGGAAGTCTGGTCTTTTATCATCAAATCTTTTGGATTTTTTCTTAGATATTACTGTGAGACGTGCGAGCAAGCCATCTGCAGAGAGTGTACAATGACAACGCATTCCACAGGCAACCACAAGTACACCCAGTTAACAGATACCATCGACAAGCAGACTTCATCCATCACCCAGCTTGTCGACAAGCTACGAAGAAAAATYCCTGTGGTTGAACAGTCTACTAAAGACGTCGAGGAAGTCACTTGTCGGCTAGAAGCTAGAGCTGAGGTTGCTAAGTCAGAGGTCCAGAAATGCTTCCCACGGATTCTCAAGGTACATATGAAGGGTAGGGTAGCGGGACATAACAAGAGGTTCCCAATTTTCAGGAGTTCGAAATCCTTTTGTTTTTTTCCTACAAATATTGAGCTGCTTTGACGTCACATGCAAGGGGCCTGTTGGTGAAATAGAATGATCTAATGTTGTTTCAGATATTGCAAGAACGAGAAAAAGGCATGATGAATGAAGTGGAGACTATCGTACGAAAGAAATCAAGCGTACTGAGCTTACAGCAGGAGAGACTAGAAAACGAGCTGAAGAAACTGAATATCACCTGTACATTTACTGGTAACGAAATACTGGACTAGTCCGAAGATACGACGACCATCTTGCCAGGGGCCCCATAATGCCTTGCGATCCAAGATGGCCGCCGTATCGTCGAAGTAGGCAGTTATATTCATACTGTATAAGAAAACCAGAAAATCGTACCGGCCAAAAGCTTTTTTGAGGGAATCAAAGGTGGCGTAGCAGTAGTGCACTTACTCGCCTCTTGCCTCTATGTTCTTTGATTCAAATCTTTTGGGCTCTACATTACAACGTGATCATGAGTAGAGTTTGTTGGTTCTCTCTTGATTTGAAAGTTTTTCTCCGGGTTCTCTGGTATTCCTCCCTCCATAGCGTCCTTCTTCCTCCTTCCTTCTTCTTCCATCTATCCCTTCCTCTATCCCTTTCTCTTTGTCTTTTCTCGTCTATTTGAATAGCAGCCCATTTAAACTTTTTCTTAACAGAGCAAGTTCTCCGACACGGCAACTCAGTAGAAATTCTTGTTGTCAAAAAGCAGTTATGCGAAAGACTCAACGAACTCATCACTACAAAGTTCCAAGGCGACCCAGAAGAAAACGACACGATTTACTTCGTAGCCAATCAGGATGAAGTAATCAGAGCGATCGAGACTCTAGGAAGTATCAAAACTAGTCAAGCCTTTCCCAACATGTGTTCTGTTACTGATGGTCAGACGCGCGCAATCAAAGGAAGAAACTCGAAATTTACTGTACAGACACGGTACGTGTTGCTTCGTGGCTTATCCTCCTTTTGACCTTTCAATGCCCCCCATGTTCCAATGAAAACATTTGRGCCCCCCCCCCCCCTCATTTTCTCCTCCACCCTAAATGCATCAAAAAGTATGCGTTTACGAATGAAAACGTATACGTGTGGCCGGGGTCTGAACTGTTTGTTTTTACTTGCAGTGATCACATGGGTAACCCACTCACTGGCGGCGGTGAAGACGTGATGGTTGATGTGTACGCGGCAGACGGAAGGACCGTACCCGCAGAAGTAAGACTTCAAAAACGACTTGGTTCAATTGGTTCAGATGAATCTTCCATCACCAGGCGTCTCATTCATCAAACCACAAATGTTAGCATTCTGTACCTTCCCTGGGYGTCTTCTTCGATCAACGCTCTTATTTTCTGTTCTTATTCTAAGTTATAGTTGATTTTGATTTTGATTTTTCATTTTGATGCAAGATTCATGCTTGCTTGATTTTTTGTTAAACATCTACCTTCCATCTGTGCCATGGTTATCGCCACCATCATTATGTTATGATTACACCCCTCTTCATTATCATCATCATCATCATCATCATCATCATCATCACACAGCCACTACCATCATCACCACCAACGTCATCATCACCAACTTCATCATCACCATCAGCATCATCATCACACAGCCACTACCATCATCACCACCAACATCATCATCACCAACTTCATCATCATCATCATCACCATCACCATCACCAACCCCATCAGCATCATCATCATAATCAGTCATAACGACTATTATCACCAACATCAACATTATACCATCTCCATCATCAGTCATCACCACCATGAACACCAAAATCATCATCATCATCACCGATCACCACCATCACTATCGCACCACCACTGCTGCTATCATTATTATCATTCACGCTGCTATCCTTTATCCTATCGTACCTTTTGCATACGTCGTAGAGTGACAAAATATGTGCTTCCATGAGAGGCCGGGGAATGAATTCTCACTGACGCAATTGCCATTTTCTGCCACCATATATGCAGGTTGATGACCACAGAAATGGTTCGTACGGCGTGTCGTACACGCCACAGTCCAGTGGGATGCACAAGGTGAAGGATAGAGAGGTATATGGGAGTGTTGCACGCCACGCCCTGTCTATTATCTTATTTGTATATGTGTTTGTGTGTTAATGATGTATTGTATAAGAATTATTTTTTATAGTGGGTTAACAAATTCGGTATGAGAGTGATTTTACTTGGCTCGTGAAAAAATTATAAGCCTTGTACTTAGTAGTAGACATGGTTTTCTTTTGTTTTTCTTTGACTGGTAATGTTAGTCACTAATTATACAACTTTATTTTATGAGCCAAGTAAAAACATCCTAGTACTCATGTCCAATGTGGCCCACTTTTACTCACACTTCCACTACATTCAATATTCTATGCATGCAATTCTTAAACAAATGATAATAATAAAAGAGTTGTCTCGGCTTCGCGACTGAAGCCTTCATGAGCAGATCGATATGCTACTACGGCATTTCTAAATTCGATTCTTAACTTACATTTTCATTTTTACGGAGGAAGGGAAAACCGAGCARGACGAGAATACGATGTACCATTAACAAGGCGAAGATTTCATTGCTACGCCACCATTGCCTTTAGAATACGATGCGTCGCATTGTGCATGATACACTATAGAATAAATACTTTTTAAGCGCATCTAATAGCTATTCCTTGACCCTGTAAGGAGACATGTCTAGCCGAGGAAAATCAGCGAAAGTACAGTGAATGATGAATCCCCCCGCTTTTCTAATGATGGCTACACGTTATCATCATCATCATCATCATCATCATCATCATTACGGGGTTGATACTGAGGGAATAGACACAAATGTCTGTTTGCGTAGTAGAGTGCATACCATATATCCGTGAAAAGATTAACTAACAAAATTGTACAAATTAGTGCAAAGTTCTGTAGGTCTACGGTCTACCTACGGTCTACTGAACTTACTAATTTGTGCAAATTTGTGCAATTTCTTATAACGGTTTTCACGGATATATGGTATGTACTCCATATGATTCTAACAATTATTTCATTTTTTTTTCTAACACAGGTCTCCGTTACCGTGCGCGACAAACACATCCAGGGAAGCCCCTTCAAAGTCAACGTTACCAGTGGCCCAGACACGTTCGTGAAGTTCGGCAGAAAAGGCTCCGACATTGGCGAATTCAATGGCATATTTGGTGTGGCTGTAGACGACGAGAGTCGAATAATCGTGACCGACTGCCATAATCACCGTGTACAGGTCTTCAATGCCCAGGGCGGGTTTATGTTTCAGTTCGGTCGTAAAGGAGACGGGAATGGCCAGTTTCAATGCCCAACTGGTGTGGGTATTGATCCAGAAGGAAGGATAGTTGTTTGCGAGCGATTGAGTTCTAGAATACAGGTACGTCGTAGCGCATTTRGAGCTCCGTTTCATTCCCTTCCCCTCACTCAGCACATAGAATGGTTAGGAATCCTAYTGTTATGGGTCTTTGTTCGCTTTTGATGTTGAACCGGTGACCGTGCAATATGTTTGATTTATGCTCATCCGAAATTGCAAAATAAGTAAACATAAACTTTGTCTATGGGATTGTTTTAAGGACTATTCAAATATSTCTTTAAAATCTTTAAGTATTTTGAACTAGCAGCCAAAAGAAAGATTTTGGTCTGTTCACTCAGCCATTGCCAACAATGGTAAAACAATGGTAAAACAAAGGATTGTGCACGGTCACGCTTGAAAAAAGTGAACAATAACCTATACTGAACAATAGAGTTTCCTAACCAATTAATGAAATTCAATGAGGCGTGGCTCTTCCAGAAACATCTATTACGTCTTGCTAAATGTCGAAAATTTGGAAACGGAAAACGCATGGCATCGAACTGCATTCTTAGGTTTGTGGTAGAACCAAGAACGTCGTGCTAAAGGTCTCTGATAACAACTCCACCTGACCCCGCGCGAACATGAAGCTGTCCACCTTTAAACAAACGTTGTTTTTCTCTAGTTATTCGACCGTGATGGAATGTTCCAGCACAAGTTCCATGTTCCTGACCTGAAGGCTTCTACTCTGGCAGTGGACGAGAACAGGAGGATTGTTGTTGCCGATTCAGCAAATAGATGCATTCACGTTATCTCACTTGATACAGGTATATATCTAAATTATTTGCTCCAAAATGACACATTTACCAAACAATTTATTATGTACATATTTTGCCATTCAATAAAATATCTTTACAATATGAAAACTTTTTACCGTACAGTTTTTGAGTCATTAATGAAAAAAGATACACGCGACGTCATCAAAATACAAATTCTTCAAGTCGCGTTGTTGCGAGAACCCCAAAACCTATATAGGACCACTTGAAGTTAACTGACGGAGAAGGTGCTACCTTTGTGATGATCGTAGACGTTCTTGGTGTCTATCACGCTACAAATGGTTAGGCATTCATGTGGCTTGGATCACCACTTCTTTAAATGGCTGTCCCGTCTCTCCACACATACTAATTTCTTTGCGACTGACGCTAAAGAATTGACCACTAAAAACGCAACGAAACCCTGGCAGTAACTATCCCCAGTGCCTGACAACGTTTCATCATTCAGTATCAGTATCAGTGTCATTCCGCTATTTCCAACTATAAGTTGATCAGCAGGGACTATATAGTCTACACAGAGCCAAAGTTCTGATGTAGTAGTCCTTTTAGAATTATAATCCCTGTTTTTTTGAATATATGTCTAAAAGACGCTACCAAAATCATAAATCATTATCATATCTTGCAGGTCAGTCGTTCAAGTTTGGTTCGTTTGGTGACAGTAATGGAGAACTAAGCTACCCGTGTTACGTGGCTGTTAATCCACAAGGACACATTATCGTCTCGGATATGCATAGCCATCGTATTCAGGTACAATATTCTACTTCCCTTGTGATAGTCCTTTCTTACACGGCTATCATGTTGGTTAGAAAGATCCCCCCCCCCCCCCTCACAATTATTCCAAATGCCCAAAACAAAAAGTACAAGAGCAGTCTTCGGTGCAGTTTATATGGCAAAACTGCAGTGGAAACAGAGCAAACATGACGCTTATGGAACAGATACAAAGAAAAAGGAAGGAGAAATAAGAAAGAAAAGAAAGCGCAAACTGCTTGTTGATCGCAGGAGAGACCCAAGAGCAATTAAAGTATTCGTTCCCAAGCATAGAGTGGGTTTACTGTGAAATGGCACGTTGAGGCACAGCACAGTTGATGCACGGCACGGAAGCGAACATATTCTTTAAACCAGTCACCATACTCGAGATCTCATTGCGCTTACCGAAACAAATAAACACTCGCTCATGGTCAAGCTGTGTTCAAACCGCAAGTTTTTCTATCACATGAAACACATTTGCTCCATAAAGTGCTTGTTGGCACAATATCTTTATCTTACTACTCTTTATCCTACTTGTCGTTACTACGCCAACCAGAGATCGATTAGCTGATGAAACAAAAAAGTAACATATGACAAGAACTATTGTAATGCGCCATGCCGTCACTGACAAGAACAAACCAAGCGCGCCTACGCGCATGGCAACATTGCCCAAGTAACAATGTTACTAAGTTATTAACAACATGAGAGGTTTTGCACCATCACGTGCCGGCGCCATAATTCAGCGTGGACTGCCTGTGGTTAGATGAAATTCCCTTTGCTCTCGGGAATAGCGCAGCGCAACCGTGACGTCATAAAAACGAAGACAAAGACGAAATTCGGACAAACAAACTTACAAGTTTACTTTCAGCAGATAATTTTCACAGCCGATCGCTGTTGATCTTAGTTTACATGGGTTATTATTGTAACTTTAAGTAAAAATATTAAAATCGGTTCGTATAATTCTCGTAGCGGTTAAACAGAATGCAATGTTTGTCCGAATCTTAAAGCTATTTTTAGAATCAGTGCGCTGCGCGATTGAATTCTTTCTCATGTAAAACGATTGTATTGTTCCTGCCATCTAACATGGCTGCCGTCACGAGGTGGTGCAAAACCTCTATACGTCTAATTCTTCTTCCTACTTCCCCCCCAGATTTTCGACTCGCGTGGTCGGTTTTTATTCAATTTCGGTCGCAAAGGAAGTCAAGACGGCGAGCTTCTTCGACCAACGGGTGTGGCTGTCACTCAAAATGGCAACATCATCGTAGCAGATCGCGACAACCATCGCATACAGATTTTCTCGAGTGACGGCCGTTTCATTTCTAAATTTGGCAGCAAAGGAGATGGGGAGGGTCAACTGAATGACCCACATGGCCTTGCGCTTACGCCTGAAGGAAACATTTGCGTGGCTGATTTTAGAAATAACCGGGTACAGATTATACCAATTCGTTGAAAACTGGCCCCCTACTAGAAGACTTGAAATCCTACAAGATATGTATTATAAATTGTGTCCAAGTGTGATGACCATTAGAAGACTTCAAATCGTACAACTGAGATATGTGTATTTATACAATATGTGTATAAATTGTCTCCAAGTATAATAATGGCGATGAAAGGTGGTTGAAATCGTTCAAGGTTGTTCAAGATTTTTCGTAGCTTTGAGTTATTTTCCAATTTGAGAAGAGGACTACAGTTCCCAGTAGTGAGGATTGTGGAAACGAAAGTGAAGATTTTCGAGAATTTCAATAAAAGCTGGGTTACAATCTAACGAATGGAAATGTTTGGTGCCGAGCTTAAAGAGCAATCTCACTAGTTTGACTTATACTTTAATGGCAATTGCTTGTTTGGCTACTGTAAATTCCACTAGTGGCCTGTTTGGTTTTTCTCCCACGACCTTCACCACTTCTAAAAGAGTGTAGCATTGCATGGAAGCTTACACATCTAGAATGCAAGTAATATGATTGGCGTTGCATGGACTTCTCGAGTCTTTTATGTTTTATCCAAATATGATACTGAACAAGAGATAATATTTTCCCAGGTCCGAACGTTTTTCCATTTCAGACCA